GTAACTGAGTTACTTTTGAGAGAAGTAACTAGTAATGTAACTCAGTTACTATTTTAAAGTAACTTACCCAACACTGATACTTACAAAACTAAAAAGGGCTGGCACAGTAATAAAAAAAACAAAAACATAAATACCTTTTATCGGGGTTTCATGGAAACTCAAATTAACACAGAGACATTAAACGCACCTCATTGCCTGCTCTGCCAAACGGGAGAAAGTACATTCTTTGCAGATGCACTTCGTCTCACAGGTAGGTTAATAAATTGGATTTAACTTAACCACAATAATAACCACAGTTTGAAGGCAATGGCAAGATGCGCGGCATGGATGTTTAGCTGGGGGAGGGGGAGTTCTCTGCCGAGTGCTGTGTGAGCCTGCGCACAAAGAGTGCACGGAGGCAAAGAGCGGATGAGACGTGAAACCTATCATTTAATTTGTGCCTTTTCTAGCGGATTATTCAGCTACTGTAGTAAATCTTGTCCATATTTAGTTTGTGGGTAATTTATTATTTTCTTTCTAAACTTCTAAAAGTTTGACTTAATGGGACATGACGTTTGTTTAAGGGAGGCATTGCCCCCTCTTGCGTATAGCCAGTAGGCCACCACTAATATTTCAGAAACCAAGAAAGTAGCATTATTTAGATGAAAAAGAAACACCACCAATCAGTAAATTTTGGAAGCACATGTTTATTGTATTTATTTGGACAATGTACAGTCTTCAGCTTTTAGCCCAAGGAATTATAACCCGATACATGACTTCTGTAAGGCATTATGAAGCATATTTCACTGATGTTTTTAAATCTGACTAAAAACTATACCTATAATTAACCTATCCCCACCTATCCCCCCGCGACAGACTGGCGACCTGTCCAGGGTGTACCCCGCCTCTCGCCCTATGATAGCTGGGATAGGCTCCAGCACCCCCCCACGACCCTGAAAAGGATAAGCGGAAGTGAATGGATGGATGGATAATACCCATTGTTTAACCAATATTATGCCTACTTATGCTAAAAGCATTGGGACACAAAAATCTGTGAATATTTTAATGCTGCATTTCAAAAGCAATAATAAAAAAAAGAACAGTCTCACCAACAGATTTCAAAGTAATCAATATTACTTAAAACACTCAGAAACAACTGACTTTTTATTTTCACACAAGTATAGATTCATAATTTTATTTCAGTGTTTTATTTAAACTGAGTTTCCGTAGTCTCCAAAGTTTAGTGGTTAACATTTCATACTGGAAGGAGACACAAATACCTGGAAATGTTGTTTCAAGGAGGTTATCTGACATAAAACTGTGCTAAATCCACCAAGTGGCTATCTCTTATGGTGGCCCCTTTTAAATAAGGGAAAAGCTGAGAGAAGCTTTATTTAAGCTGAACACCAGTAAGCAAAATAGACATTATAGCAGAAGTGCATTATTTTAAATGATTTAAATTTGGCGCAGATTAAAGACACAAGATTAGCATAATGTAACCTGAGTCTTTCAAGGCCTTACTAAGAAGGCAGATACCAACAGGCATATCCACAGTGGCAGCGACAGAGTAAGAGCAGGAGGGACACCTGACCTAGCAATTGATTGGTAGCATTTTCCCACATTGCCAACTTTATCTACAGCTATTATTTCAACAGTCTGTGAGCAGCAAGAGGCATTGTAGTTTGCCACGATGATAGGAGCGCTCAGTGAGGTGTATGTGAGGGTTCCATTACCCTGATGGAGGGAAATGCTCTCTATCCCAGTTCCGTTTCCATCTGTAATGTTAGCTGAGAGCCCCCACTGGAAATGTTCACACTGGGACAGATCACGAGGGCATTTGTTATCCTGCACGCTAACCACTTTACATAATGGCTGAATAAAATCTGTAATCTGGAAAAGAAGAAAGATGTGTTTGACATGTGTGAAAGGACTGTCAACATTCAGCTTTTGATCAGTAGGACATGTCTTTACCAGCAATTTGTGTGGATATGTTCAGAAGCGCTTTTGCTTATTTCACTGACTTACCTTGGTAACAACAGACAATCTCAAAACAGCATAATTTGAGTCAACGCCATTGGATGACTGTGCGTCAATAGTCAGTGTGACATCAGTGCCTGACTGCGTGCTGGCAGGTGGTGTTATGGTCAATGTAGCATTGGCATATTGCCCAGTTACCAGGGTGAGTCTGTCAAGACAAGAGTAAAATATAAGAATACCACAGGGGCTACATTTGTTATATGCATTAAAGATGTGACAGAAACCTAATGCTGTATAGCACATTTGGGCGGAGCAATAACAGCTATTGCTTACCCTTACCTTCTATACCAACTGATTATTGGGGTGACACAGGTCACTCAACCCTTTTATAATTTTAAAGGCCCAACAAATTAGACTCAAACAGGACATAAGCTAGCTGTGAACCCAATTTATGTGTTTTGGTCTAAGTTACGCTAACTAAGCTTCAAAGATATAAAAATGCTATAAATATTAGCAGACTAGCAGTGCCAGTCTTTACAACATTTAACATTTAAAGTATTATTTTAGCAGTGAACCTCTTACTCATTTGGGAAAATCATGGGGAAATTTCTGTCATTTCTGGCACTGATGGAATACTTTCCACCAGAGCTCTGAGTCATCACACTGAATGGAAGCTTAAAGGTCTGTCCTGGCTCCACACTGCTGTCCACCACAGCCTAGAGTGGACAAGGAAAAGCAACAACTTAAAAGGACTGGTATCGTTCTTGTACCTTGTGAATGCTTAATTATTCTGTATCTATTTATGGAATGAATTTGATTCGAATTAGACTCATTGTATCTGATATTATAGTCAAACAAAACACATTTACATTAAAGGGGAAATTGAAAAGACAAACCTGGATCTTCACTTTGGAGAGAGACATTTGGGTGTTTGACTGCCTCTGAAATTGACTGTTGGACACTTTGTCAGTTCCTTTTACAACGACCACAAACTCGCCTTTAGGGACAGCCTCAACAGTCACCAGAATTTCTCCATTGTCCATCTGAGTTAGTACACCATTGCTAAAACTCTCAGGACCTGAGACTTTTGCCAGGCTAACTTGTTCAGCAGTCATCGAAGACGGACCTCTTCTACCCATAACTGACAGTATTAGTGTGGCTGACTGGCCTGGATTTTCAGATTTAAGAAGAAAAGAATCAAAGTGTGAGGGAAAGCAAACGGAAAACAAAATTATATTAAAGATAAAAATAAAATATTATTACAAGATCTTTAAAAATCCTCTTTTGAGCTAAACAAGGTGCCAGTGGTGACGTAGTCATACATTTCACCACTAGATGATGCTCTTGTAATACAGAAACTTCACATCAATTAACTACACTTGTTACTTGTGTTGTAATATAAATACGTTATGTGCAATGCTGTTAAAATGTCAAAAGTTACTCTATTGGTGGGGTGTGGAGCACATTTTTTTACTGAAAATAAATCTCTTAAAGCAAAATAAGGTCAGGTTAATGAAGTTACCTTCAACCGTAAAAGAATAAAACTGCTTTATTGCGGTGCTGTACCTTCTTGTGGACGCCCACTGAGCACTGCGTAACCTGGGTGAGGTCCAGCAAAGCTTTCCACAAAGTCATAGATAAAGGTAATTGTACTCTGGCCTGGAAAAGCAAGCGTTTACAGTAAATACAGACTTACAGGAAATGCACATACACCGCAAAAACTCATTGAACCTGAATCACTTCTGACACTTGTATAATAAAGACTTGTAGTAAATAAACATATACCCGATTCTACCTGTGATTTTGAGTGTGTAGGGTTGGTTGGAGTTGATGTGGATCTGCCAGTTTCCTGCCTGCTTCTCAGAGTTGAAGCGAATCCTGTGCAAGTTGCCCACAGTCTGAATGGTGCCCAGTTTACCACTGGCCTCACTTTGACTCTGGGTTACACCTGAAAATGTTTAACATCCATTATCACTAATGGGTATTTTGCAACTACATTTGTTGAAATTGGTTGTGTGAAGCACGGAAATGTTTGGAAATGAGAGGTACCAGCAGGGTTTGTCAGCGTGAAAGTAATGGATCTTCCTGTGATGCAGATAGTGATGTTTTTCAATGACTCATCCAGTGTGAAGGGGAAGGTCTCTTGCGTTCCAGGATTTCTTGCTCGCTGAAGAACTGTCACCTGACAGAATTGAGGGAAAGGGGGGAAAAATGAGCAACTTACTCTGCGATCTCTATTCTTCAAACAATAGTCCAGTCATATAAGTCTCATTATATTCACTGAACTGTAGAATCATACCAGAGCTGAAGTTGAGGTGTCAAGGATAATATCTGTGGCTTGAGAAAGCTCTGATTTGGAAACATGAATGGCCTGGCCTCCAGAGGTCAGAGCTATGTCTTTGTAGTCGTCAAAGGAAGCAGCTCTGAGGGAACGACGGCGTCTGCTAAATGGTGTAGTAATGAAGAACGACACCTGTGGAGATCAGTTAATGTCACAGTTATACCCACAGCTGCCATGCCTAAGTAGGCTTAATGAATACTGATTATCATGAAGTGTCATTCTGCATTTACCTTTGACTTAGTGCTACTAATGAGAGCATTGATAGTGTCTTTGAGCTCAATGTCTTTTGCTAAAGCATCAGTGAAAACATAGATGTCAGAAGAGGAAGGAGCACCTGTCAGAGCAAGCTGGAGAAATAAAGTATACATAAAATCTTCGATGCATCCACATTTTCATCTTTCTGAAATGTTTTTGTCTGATTAACCAAAATCCCAGTTACAAGTGAAAATGTCACAACTGATTGTAGTACCTGAAGCCCTGACAGGCACATCTCAGGTTCATCACCTCCACCACTTGCTGTAAGCTTCGAGATTTCTTCTTTCATCTTATCCACGTCTGTTGTCCTGATCATAGGTCCAAACTCTACATACAAGAACAAAAAAGAGCTAACCATGTAGACTGACCTGAGGACTAAATATAGCCGGTTGTCTACAAGCACATTGGGACAATATGCAGATTTGCATCATAAATGCACTTTATGTTTCATAAAACAGAAATTAAATACAATTAGTACAGGTCGTTTAAATACCAGTAAATGCTAATATCCTTAACGGGATAGAGGAGTTCATACCAGGGTCATTGAAAGGCACCAGGATGTACTCGGAGGGCTCGTCTTGTGTTCCTTTGTATGCGTCAATGATTTGATAAACAACTGATCTTGCTTCTTCAATGTCATCTGACATACTCCCAGTTGTGTCAATTACGAAGCACAAGACAGATGAGCGAGCAATCCCCATCATTCTGTGAGAAAAGAAAATTCAGTTTTCATTTCAATCCCAGAGTACTGAAATACTGAAGTAAAATACTTCATACTTCATAGTATACTCTGAAACACTTTGTTCATGTGTCATTATAGTACCTCAAAAAGTTACTGTCTCCTACAGCTAAGCGAAGATCCTGCAATAACTCGAGACTGGCGTCTGTTGCTGCTTGCACAGCAGCGTTGTGAAAAGCCAAGTTGTCTTGATGACGCTCATCTTTGCTGATGCCTCCTCGAGGATTGATTTTGCTAGTATGATCAGCTGCACCTCCATGGCTGCATTTACCTTACATAAGCAAGAGATCGTTGTACCCATATCTTGATTAGATATACTGATCTTGCATGTGTGTTTAAGTACTCCTAAAAAACCCTAAAAGCATGTAATAATAGTAAAAAATGATATGAAAAAAAATTGTGAAATCAAACTGATGTGTGTGTTAGTTTGGTTCAGTTCAGGTTTTATCAGTGGCACAGAAAACTGTCATACATGTCTGATGAATACAAAGTCACAGACAGAAACAAGTTAGGTTAGCTCAGCATAAACATGGCACTACTGAGGTAAAAAAAAAAAAAAAAAAAGAGTCTATCCTGTTAGTACATCTAAAGCTCACTGACATACAGTGGTCCCTCGCTATAACACGGTTCACTGCACTTTGCACCGTCAAAGGCTCCTGTGGTAGCACCTAAAAGGCAGAGGAAGATGCTAACCATCGCACAAAAAGTTGGACTTCTAGACATCCTAAAGGAAGGTAGAAGTTACCGTATTTTTCAAACCATAAGGTGTACCTGGTTATAAGGCGCATTAAGCAAAACAAAACAGTCAGATGAGTCAAACTTTACTCAACTCATTGTTCTTGCTTCCTCTATTTCCGTACCATTAATTCATTAATGTTGAATTCTCTGGCAGCTGCTCTATTCCCATGTTCTGGACCTGAAAACAGGGTTTGATCTTTGGCTTCATTCTGTAATACTGGACTTATTTTTCCACAAAGTTTCGAACTTTGAGAGTCTTTAAACAGGAGAAAAGTGTGAAAATGTTCATGCCTGTCAGAGAAAAGTGTATAAAGTGTGTAGTGACGGGTTTTACAGCCTTAAAACATTGAGAATAAAAAAATAAAGCTGGCTACTTCGTGGATTTCACTTTTCGTGAGTTATTTTTAGAACGTAACTTCCACGATAAACGAGGGAACACTGTATTCTGTTTATTATTTTCATTGAGAAGTAGAGCATTATGTAAAAGCACAGGTTAAATGGAAAATATAAATAATATTAGCATAACTCGATTTAAATGTTCATGGGACTGTGCGTGTGTGTGAATAATAGATAAAAAGCACTTAAGCACTGCAAAAATAGTGTTTGTATGAATGGATATGAATTGGTGAATGAGACATGTTGTATAAAGCGTGAGTGCTCAGGTAGAATAAGAACTATACAAGAAGGTCATTTAACATTTTAAGCTACAGTAAGTGAAATCTGAAAACTTGAAAACTGAAGCCCTTGGGTGAGAGGTGAAACTTGGTCAGGAAATTTAAAGAAGTCCAATCATGTTCTTTCCAAGCTTCTTAGATGTTCTCAATCATCATGGCCTTGATGACTGAGAACCTACACAGGCATTGTAGACATTGTTTGGGCATCTGCAAAATGCTCAGATTGTAATGTTAACTGCTTCGAGTACGCACTGCCTTCTCAACTTGAATGTAATTTATCTATGTGTGTGAAATGATACCTTTAGGCTTGACAGAAGAAAAGACTCCCATATAGCCAGATGTGAGTTTCTTGTCTTTTAGGATGTTGGGGAGCAGCTGATTGGGGCATGTTCCACTGGCACTGTCACAGTTACTGCAGGTGGGGGTGTTCACATCTACACACACACACACACACACACACACACACACACACACACACACACACACACACACACACACACACACACACACACACACAAACAAAACAGGATTACTGTAGGAGATGATTGCTTGATAAATATCCAGGTATCTTTTAACAACTAGTGAGACTCTAAGCAACTCATCTCTTTAATTTATTATTTATGTACACTGTTTGGAGTTGTTTTATGAATGCAGTGGTCTGAAAATGAAACATAATGACCAGCCAATGATAATCAGCCACTGTCATGTCCTTAGCAAGACTTCAGTCTCTGATATTTGGTCTATACATATTCTCTCAAGAAAAGAAAAAAGCATGGATGTTATCTTTTTATGGCACTTTACCCATCCCAAGGGAATGGGTTGGGTTCATAATAGTGGTGATAATCCACACTTACCTGCCAGGTTATCCAGAGGGAGGCCTGGGTTTATGAGGTTGCTGTATGGCTTTGTGTACCCCAGCTCAACCCAGTTACTGTGACTGTAAAAGTCCTGAGAGTGCAGAGAAACACATGTTATGCAAACCTCATATAACCTCCATACTTAAATTTCTGATTGTATGGCTGTTCCAATACCTTTTTAAGTTAATTCATTTATGCCCTGGTGTTTTGTTGCACCCCTCTCACCTGTAGTGTGTGAAGGACTCTACCCAGTGTTGTCCTTGCAGCCTGAAAATTCTCATTGTGAACGTTAGCTTTAATGGCCACCATGCCCTGTGTGATTAGGCTCCGCCCCTCCAAGAAAGCCTCAGAGTTGAAGTGATGTGGAGCACTAAAAGATTTTTTTAACATATAAGTGAGATCCTTGCCTTACCATTTGTAAAAATGTAATTTAATTATTCCATAGGTTGTTATTCCACAATTTTGCTTTACCTGTTGACAAAGTCGCGATCTACCAACCCATTCTGGGCGTAGATCTCTTGAAGAGCAGAATGAAATTTGGCACCAGACACCTCTCCTGTTGCTGTGGGACCTAGACAGGCTTGCACCAGCTCTTCAGGAGAGGAACCCTAAAGGGTAAAGTATGAAGTTCAAAAAAATATTCCTGTTAAAAATGAACAGGCGAGTACAAAATACATTTTACTTTATGAGGGGAACTGCATTTGTCAGAAAAAGAAATCTCAAATTGTTAAAAAGCCTATAAGTTCTATTAAACACACACACACACACACACACACACACACACACACACACACACACACACACACACACACACAAGCCTTGGTATTAAGTTTAATACAATCATAAAAAGGACAATAAATGGGTACATTTATTCTGTGGGTTTCTTTTTTGCTTTTAAAGCTTATCCAGACAAACATCCACATTAAAATGGATCTGACTTTGTATTTAAGTGTTAATGTTTTTAACTGTGGCAGGCAACTAAGTTTATGCTATTTTGTACATTTTGTATACCTACCGTGGGGTTGAACTCATAACCATTTTTCTCAGCCACCGCCTGACACGTCTCTCGCACTTTCTGCAATATAGCCGTTCCTGTAATGCTGACATGAGTGGATGCTCCACCCCCAATAGAGACAAAGGCCATACCTGGCTTTAAAAGAGCCAAAGGCAGCAGCGCTATGACCAGCAATGAATTCATGACAAATCTATTTTAAAAAAAAAGAAAAAAAGGAACAGCATTTGTTAATTTAGCTGATTCAGTTGATTTTGAATAGAATACTGCAAACATACTAAAACTGTGTGGTTTGCGAAAATTACAAAGTAAGTAATTAAGTAGTTTTTTTTTTCAGAACAGGTTCAATCATTTATAAGGATTTTAAAAGGTTTTTATTTTAATAAAATATGTTAATAATATAAATAATCACTGGAATCTTTAACAAAAACTCTACTTTACAAACAATATGCAGATGTTTCCAGTGCGTTGCATTCAAGTACAATACTGTTCTTATTTTATCTTATTTCTTTATAGTTGTATATATGTATATTTTAATTTTAATTTTTACAGTTTGCACCTTTGATCCAGAGGACGATATTTCATCCCACTGTATACTTGAGTGTATATTGTTGGGTTGACAATAAAACTATACTTTACTTGTGCTTTTTCATCCTGTGATTTATATTTACACAGATTTCAGAGTAAAAGTTATTATGTAGTAATGAATAAAAAGCCAATGAAAAATAATGAACATTTTCAAATTAAGTTAAAGAAAACATAATTTAAAAGCTACCGTACATGCAATACTGGGAGAAAATGTCATTTCAGTTACATAAATAAACTATAAAATACAATCATACCTTGATGTTTCCAACCTATGATGACTCCAGTGGGCTTTAAAGTGTGCTGCCCTGGCACGGAATATATACTGAACTAAGGGAGGGGATCTGAACATGTCATAAAGAGCTGTAATCTAAGTTAACTGGAAGGCCATATATTTCAAAGTGTGCATCACCACAATGAATCCATTTGGCCACACCTTGAGGAACACATTTTTTCTTTCTGTAATACTTGCCATACTAAAATGAAATATAAACCTTGATTAGCAAATGATTACCACATTATAACAAAAAAGTTTGCCTGCAAAGGTTCAATAGTTCAGTTATCTCAGTATGTCTTTATGGACAAGTATAATACCTCTAATGGAGATTATTTTTGACCTGCATTTATTTTATGAGGTCAGTTTTAAGTACTAATAGAAATGCAACATTGTTTTTGTATTTACATTTTCTTCTTTCCCATTATATCCATTTTTCATTTAATTCATGATAAAATCTTCCCAAAGCATTTTCTCCTTTCTAGAACTTGTGTAATGCATATTAAATCAACTGAAATTCATGGCAACATAAAGGACAATTTTAGTTTATAAAATAAGAAATAAATATTATATTACCATTATGCGCAGCATGTACTCATCTTTTATTTTACTAAAAATGGTCAGGGTTACTCAATGGGCCATTTTGCTATGTTGCCAATTAGGTTTATGCTTATTTTATTTTCAAGTACTTTCATTACAACATATTCATAAATATCATCAAACATTTGTTAGTTGTGCAAATGCTCAAATAATGGATAATTTGGCGAAGCCTTACTGTCTCCCAAGAAGAACAAGAGGCAGTGAGGACGAAGAGGTCTCTGCTTAGACTCCCGCCCATAAGACCAGCCCATGGACAAGCAAAATTTTGTGTGATAGGGTTTTGTGTGATAAAGCAATATTCCATTTATTTCCACTCAGTTCAATTTATTTCAACTCAATTTTATTTATATAGCACGAAATCACAACAGCACAATTTTGTGACAGTGGGAAGAAAAATCCCCTTGAACAGGCAGAAACCTCTAGCAGAACATGACCCATGGTTGGGCAGCCATATACCATGACTGGTTGGGGGGGTAAGGGGAGGAAGACAGAACAAAGTTAATGTGTGAGAGAAAGCCAGACACCAATAATAACTAATGATTAACATGTTTCCCTTCAGTTGGCACATTCTTACTGATAGATCACTGTTTGATTCTTACGTTGTACCTATTATCTTTGGGGTTTTAGATTATTTTTTACAATTGGACATTCTGTTAAAAAATACTAAACGTGCTTTGGATAAGTGGTTACACATATCAACCAACTAAATCCTACTTACTTTAGCTTCCTGTTCTAAGTCAGTGGGAGAACCTAAAGAGGCCAAGAAAAACAAAACAAAAGAAGAAAAACATGAAAGTCACGTTCTGACCAACCTGACTATATAAGTCGAAAAAGGGAGTGGAAGGAGAAATGGCAGTCTTAGTCATGCAGAAAACTTTAACAAAATGACAAGAAAATGCCATATTCTCCCTTTCTTACTGTGTTAAAAAGCAAAAACAGTGTTTACTGAATTCATTTCTGTGTGCTCAATGCAAAGGCATAAAAAGTGGAGGCAGGGGCAAACAGGATTAGTCTGAATTACTCTTAGTGAGTTAGAAAGAGTTAGTCTGAACACTTTTTGGCAGATCATTTCAAAATGCTTTGGAGTGAATGGGAGGTGTTTCTAAATTACCATCTTCAAATCCAGCTCACCCCATGGTCTTTTATGCTTAAGCTTAGGTAGTGTACTTCCTTGTACTAGTGTTGGGCTGTGAGCCAGCCACAGAAAAGAGAAGACATAACATACAGAAAAATTATGCGCTATCTCGTCTGACTGCTTTGAGTCACTGCTGAACTGAAATTTGAGCCAATTTGCAAGTCTGCAGTTGCAGGTACTCTAGTAAAGATTTTACCTCTTTGTTTTTGAAAGCAGTCATCCCTTCCTGGTGTTGTTCATAACTTATATGGAGAAGAATTTCTAGGCACAGCCCAGTGGTGATTTGGTGGTCTGGGGTTTACTCCTACACTATTTGCAAATCGCGTTGCCTTTTGTTGACCTCAAGTTTACACTTGGGAAATTTGCATAGTGTAAAACGAAAACGAAAATTTTCTCCTCCAAGTCTGAAAATGTAAAAAGGATTTAATGAACTTAAAGTGAGGGAAAAGTAACCCCATATGGAGAAGTTTAAGTGTCTCAGAGTCTTGTTCACCAGTGAGGTGAACAAGACTCTTTCAATTCAGTTCAGTTCAATTCAATTCAGTTTTATTTATATAGCATCAAATCACTACAAGAATTGCCTCAACGTGCTTTATATTGTAAGGTAATGACCCTACAATAATACAAAGAAAAACCCATCAATAAGATGACCCTTCATGAGGAAGCATTTTGGCAACTGTGGGGAGGAAAAACTTCCTTTTAACAGTAAGAAACCTCCTTGCAACTTCTTGTGGGTGAAGAGAAGAACACAGAACAAAAGACACACTGTAGAAGATAGTCAGAGATAATAATAACTAATGATTAAATGTATAAGATAAATGTTTATATGTTAATACACTAGAAAGATGTACAGTGCTGCTGAGATGGTTACTTTTTTGAATGCCAGCACAAGACCAGCAGAGTTCTGTTAGAGTGAAAATGGCTCAGCTTGCCTGGACAGCTTTCTAGCAAACATAATACTGAGGGCAATGCCAATCTAATTCTGATTCCATATATTTTCAGTGAAAATGACTGGCACTAAAAAATTTTCTGTAATAGATGGCAGTCTGCCATTTGGTACTAATGAAGAAGTAAACAGTTGTTGTACACCAGCGGTCCCCTTTTTTGCGGCACGGACCGGTTTATGTCTGACAATATTTTCATGGACTGGCCTTCAAGGTGTCACAGATAAATACAACAAAATAAAACCAGTACCAGTACCAAAAAAGAAGATTTATTCATAACACACAGGAAAAGACCAAGGGAAACAGAGTTAATGATAAAAATGATAAAAAAAAATTAATAACAATAAAGAAACCCTGAAAACCATAAATTTCACACCCGAGCCTCAATGGCCTGGTACCAAACGTCTCACAGACTGGTACCGGTCTGTGGCCTGGGGCCTGATAAATTTTATCAAAACGCTAATCAGTTTATTTAGTTATTTTTTATTAGTGCAGCTTTTGGTTGAATTCCAGGTCATGAAATGTCAGCTATTCCATAAATGATTTTACTACTGAATAATATCTTTTTACACAGCTAAATTTAACTCGTACATGACAATATATCAGTGGTGGTGAAACACACGTAGTGCAGTGCTTCATCATGCAAACTGTCTCATTGTTTGAGTGTCACGGTACGGAGTGTGGACAGGAATCACGCTAAAAAAAAACCCAAAAAAAACTTCTTCATGTCCTTCCAAACAATCTTCCTTCTCTCAAAAACTGAAACAAAGCCTGATAACTTTTATTCCCCCACTCCTTTTGCTATAACTTAATAAGATCCAATTTCATGTTAATGTTACTGAGACTTTGGACCAGTTGTCTCCTCTCTAGCTTATAATTCCGACACTGCAAAATAACATCCTCCAAAGTTTCCTCCTTTCCACAATAGTCACATTTCATTGAATTCAATCCTGTATGTCCAAATCTCAGTCTTGACACCACAACCTCCTTTCGCCTACTCCTTCCTGTGGCTCTCCTTACTCCCATCCCCCTTTGAATTTTATATAACCACCTTCCCCTCCTTTCTTCTTCCCACTGTTTCTGCCATCTACCCCTCATTTCTAGCTTAATAATATGCTTAACTTCCACCTGACCAAAACTCACCACCAGATCAACTATCCTATGATTAGTGGCTTCCTTTGCTAACCTATCCGCTGCTTCATTCCCCCTTACCCCATAGTGAGCTGGGACCCATACAAACACTACTGACAGACCCATCATATGTATTCTGAAAAGAGTTTGCTGAATCTCTATTAAAATATCTGATCTACCTTCCGAATGACCGCTCTATAGACTGACCATGGCTGCTCTTGAATCTGAACAAATAATTGCTTTCAATGGCCTCAACTCTTCCACCCACTGAACCGCTAATAGAATTGCTATCATTTCTCCTGTAAACACAGACAATCCATCATTAATCCTCTTCCCAATTTCAACCATAAAGTCCGGAATTACTACTGCTACCCCCACTTGACTAGCTGGATTCTTTGAAAGCATCCGTATAAGAACTGAACCGAGTCTAAACCGCCTGCCCTATCCTTACTCTTCTGGTGCAATAACGCAAAATCTACAGCTGCTTCAGGAAGTATCCATGGAGGGATTGCAGGCCACGGCACTCGCTGACATATGTCTAACTGATCTGAATGTGGGTATGCTGCACAAAACTTTACAACTCTTTGTGCCCATCTCAGATTTCATATCAAAGACGTAAAAAAAAAAAGTATTATGTCCATTTGAAGGTTGCTCAAAATACTCCAGTGTCTGAACATCATTTTCCAGCCATATTTCTTGAAAACATAAGCAGACAGTTCGGCATTCAAGGCAACAAGAAATTGGTGAAATTGCCATAATAAAAGGACAGGACACAGTTAATCTATTAGAAGACAGGAATTCACAGCACAATAGTACTGATGAAGACGTATTTCTATATCGATTGGCATTGCTTTATTTAACCTCCTAAGACCCGAACTCTTCCACGGCATGAATTTTTAATTTCTCTTTGATATTTGGGCTAATTGGGACCCGATGAATGTAAAAATAAAGAATTACAAGATTTTTTTTTTTTACCTAATTTTTGTTTCTAAGAAAAATGAGAGTCACGTATGAGGATATTCGTTTAAATTTTTCAATAGAACAGTAGCAGTGTACTGTCCTCGTAAGTGGATATCAGGCCCTTGTAGGGTAAAATTTTGTATTTTGGTCTAAATAACCCAAAATGTGACGCCAGGTCCTAGGAGGTTAAAAATAGGGATGGATATTGAAAAGATTTTCACGATTCCGATTCCATTTTCGATTCTGTTTAACGATTCGATTCTTTATCGATTCTCTTATCGATACTTTTTAAAAAAGGAGAACACTAAGGTCGATTAGCTTAGAAGTTTGTTTTATATCTTCTCTTCTTTGTTTTATATCTTCTCTATATCTTCAGGAGTAACATGGCCTTACAAACCCAACAGTGAGATCTTAAGAGATCCACAGCCTACGGCTCTTCAATGGGGCGTCACTGCCTTTCCGTTACTATTCAATCCTAATTGCAGGGTTCATCTTTTAGTGAGGACATATTTGTTGAAATAGCCATATAAAGTAACTTTTCCAATGGCCTCTTTTTTGAGATGCAACAGACCAGAGAATCTGAATGACACAATTACTCTGGAGCTTTGCCCTGCTGCATCAGCTGAAACATAATCAAAGGCATAAAGGATTATTAATTATTTCTCCAGTCAGAAGCTCAAATGGAAACTTTTGTATGAGGACACTTCTCCAGCAGATAGAAAGTGAGGGAGTTTTGACCAATAACAAGGTTGGCACAGCAGACATACTTCTCATGATGAAGTATTACAAGGAAAACGAAGACGCCCTCTTTGTCTTAGCAGATGTAAGCTTTTTTCATACAGCTCTATGTTTAATGCTGTTGCTTGCTGTCCTGTTATATTTTTTTTTTTTGGGGGGGGGGGGGGAAACAGTTCTATAAACAGCGGGTCCTTTTTCTGATAGGAAACATCTGGCAGGAAACATCTACCAGGATGTCTCTTGGGGCAGAGGGCAACCTGCCAATGACGCCAAGGCTTGTTATGCTTGGTAAAAAGTCATTTATGAAATATAGCTGATTAGACAATATTACAATTTCTGTTTGGCACAGGAGCTTTTCGTGGAGACAGGTATCCAGACTCTGTTTTGTTAGCTCTCATCTCTCTAATTTCCTTTATAAACAAAGGTTGTTGGACATGTGTCTCAGTGAATCCAGCAAAGTAACCATCAAATTTCACATTACATATTACTGATCAACATGGTAGTCTAGCTACACCAACAGCAGAAATACTGAATTCAATACTGTAAAGTTTAACAGCAGCACCAACTATAAACTCCAAAATAACCATACAGCTGATGCAACTCCGGTAATTTAATTGGGCTGACTCTTTGTTAGGTGTGTTTAATATGCAGAATAATTCCCAATTATGTACAATCATAATATGTTAACTTATGTACATAAGGCCATTAATAATTAACTGTACATAGCTATTTGCTTTACGATTATCTATACAGTGTGAAGAAGTGAAGTATTGGAGTTATTTTATGTTGCATAATGACAATGTTGCCCCTATAAATTTAAGGACAAAGTTCAAAGTCTTCTTTGGTTCACTCTATGTATTGAACCTGGAATACCAGGAGTCAGCGTGTGCAATATTGGAACTAATTCAGAGGTATGTTTGAACAGTTAGCTAATAGTGATAGATGATGAATAAATAATCTCTGAGTAACTCATTATTTCACATCACAACTCAATGCTACTGTGTGTTACTATTTATTATGGCATGCTTTAAGGTTTTTAAGGATAAACCCTGAAGATAGAACAAAATGTACCTCCAACAATGAAGACAAGCTCTCTCACCATCTTACAAGAAGCTGTCTCTGTCCAATAGGTTTTTTAATTGCAACAGTTTTTTTTCCTTCTTTTACCCGTTTGTTAAAAATGATTCCAGCTACTTACACTTTGTCACATGTATTGGCTCACCCTACAAATCAATGAACTCAGCCCACAAAGCAAGGTCAGGGTTCAGTGCAGGACAGTAAAGTTCCTTCACACCACACATACTCATCCATGTCCTTGTGGACCCTGCTTTGTGCATTGATTTGGTGGTGTGAGCCAGTATTTTTGGACAAAGTGTATATAAAGGCAGAAGTGTGGGGCTTAATATTCTATTCATAACAATTCAGTTTATTTGAATGGTGCCAACAAAATAAATGCTAAGGCACTTCAGAGTGTAGGTTTAAGACCCTAAAAAATATAACTAAGAAAACCCAGCACTTGTGCACATGTTGTCGTCTGTCATGATATATACAAACCAGATTCCAAAAAATTTGGGACACCAAACAAATTGTGAATAAAAACTGAATGCAATGATGTGGAGATGGCAAATGTCAATATTTTGTTCAGAATAGAACGTAGATGACAGATCAAAAGTTCAATCTGAGAAAATGTATCATTTGAAAGGAAAAATATGTTGATTCAAAATTTCACAGTGTCAACAAATCCCAAAAAAGTTGGGAACGGTAGCAATAAGAGTGTGGAAAAAGTAAATTTGAGCATAACAAAGAGCTGGAAGACAAATTAACATGAATTAGGTTAATTGGCAACATGATTGGGTATAAAAAGAGCTTCTCAGAGTGGCAGTGTCTCTCAGAAGCCAAGATGGGTAGAGGATCACCCAAGATGGGTAGAGGATCACCAATGGGATTTGTTGACACCATGACATTTTGAATCACCATATTTTTCCCTTAAAATGATAACTTTTCTCAGTTTACACTTTTGTTCCGTGATTTATGTTCTATTCTGAATAAAATATTGACATTTGCCATCTCCACATCATTGCATTCAGTTTTTATTCACAATCCTTTTTAATGTCCTTTTTTGGAATCCGGTTTGTATGACATAATTATACATATATATATATATATATATATACATATATATATATATATAT